GGACGAGGCCCGGCCCGGCCCCAGCCAGGGACGAGGCCCGGCCCGGCTGCCCTGAAGCCGCCGCTGCTGCAGCTGAGGGCGGCGGCAGGAGGAGGCCTGGGCTGGAGGCGGCTGCCTCGGCACAGTGCTGGGGAGCCCGGCCCGTCCCACCAGCGGCCTCTCCTCCTGCCCCCGCCCTCAGCTGGAGTGGGCACCCGGGGGGCTCCTGAAACACCCCAGGGCAGGGCAGGGCCCACAGTGTCACAATGTCCCCTCGGTTCCATGAGCCCCCGCAGTGTCACAATGTCCCCTCGGTTCCAGGAGGCCCCACAGTGTTGTGAGAAAAACCTCATTTTATCAAATTTAGAAAATCGGCATAAGTTTGCAAAACAAAAGGAATAAAACGAAAAGGAAAAATTAATTACAACATGTGTTGGGTGTCCTAGGCACGCAGGATTCCCAGGAACACGCCCTCCAATTCCAAAGTCCCGCTTTTTAAACATTCTTAAGGTTCAACCCTGTTTACATCATAGAAGAGGCGTTCCCCTCTCCCTGGTTGGCTGTGTCGTGCTGGGAGCTGGAGTGTCCAGCAGCACGGCAGCTCCCAGGACCAGCCATGTGGTCTAAGGGGTTTCCTTACCAATATTCATTTACAGTTCCCTATTCCCGTTCCCATGTTTCCCTGACACCAGTTCCAGGCTGAATCCGGCATCTTACAACTCCGCGATCCGCCTTATAGGTTAGTAAAGAAAAAAACTTCTACATTAGTGATTTGTTTAATTCATTTGCTTGTAATAAAACTGATTCTTTATTTCTCACAGTGTCACAATGTCCCCCCGGTTCCAGGAGCCTCTGCAGTGTCACAGTGGCCCCTGGGCACCCGCAGGCCCCACATCACACAGCCCTGGCAGTTGCCATGGAAATGCCTGTGCCCAGAACCAGCTGGAATCGGCCCAGGCAGCCCCTTCCAGCACAGCTGCTCATGGTGGGTCCCTTTCAGCTGCTCTGGGGCACCTTTTGCCCGGCGGGAGCGTGTGGGGATCCCCCCCTGCAGCCCGGACAGCGGGACAGTGGCACCTCCTTGGTGCTGACACCCCCCAGGAGTGGAGGAATGTTTGGTTTTGGCCCCCAGACATCTCTGGCTCCTTCAGGGCTGCCAGGGCTCCTGTGGGATACATATGTAAGGAAGAAATCGAGCCATTAGAGAGCAACCAAAAGGAGGCAATGAGGATGGGGAAAGGCCTTGGGGGAAGACGTGTGAGGACACTGAGGGCACTTGGTGTGTTCAGCTGGAGGAGACTGAGGGGAGACCTCACTGCAGGTACAACTTCCTGGGGAGGGGCAGAGGAGGGGCAGGGACTGAGCTCTGCTCTGTGGGGAGCAGGGACAGGACTGAGGGAATGTCCCGAAGTTGTGTCAGGGGAGGTTTAGGTTGGATATTAGGAAAAGGTTCTTCCCCCAGAGGGTGATTGGGCACTGAACAGGCTCCCCAGGGCAGTGGGCACAGCACCAAGGCTGGCAGAGCTCAAGGAGGGTTTGGATGATCCTCTGGGGCACAGGGGGTGACTCTTGGAGATGGTCCTGCTCAGGGCTAAGGGTTGGACTCCATGATCCTTGTGGGTCCCTTCCAGCTCAGTGTATTCTGTGATGCTGTGACACCAGCTGGACTGGTCTCAGTGCACGAGGAGCCTCTTCTTCCTCCCTCTCAAAATGTGGGTGCCCCCCATGTGGGGAGGGGTCCTAGACCTGCTGCAAGGTACCTGGAGGAAGGAGGGATACCCTCCTCCAGGTGGGATGTCCATCAAATGTGGGACCTCCACCAGCCCCTTTTAACCCCACAAAACTGGGGGTATAACCCCTCCTCAGCCATCGGTGGAGCCATGCAGTCACCCCAATCCCCCAAAATGAGGGGGGGACCCCCAAGAGCCATTTATAACCCCTAAAAATTAGTTGAAAACAGCAGGATCCTGCCCAAAATGGGGTCATCTCACCTCCCAAAACGTGAGGGGTTTATCTCAGCCCCTGAAAATGAGGGGGACCCCCAAAAGATGTTTATAATCCCCCAAATTGGTGGAAAGCACTAGGACCCTCCCCAAAACGGGCTCCCTGGGTCCCTCCTTGTGGTGTCCCACTCCAAGTGCTGAAGCCACGCATCCCCCACCCCATCTCCCAGTACCTCCTCTCAGGATTGGGGGGCACCCAAAAAACTCCCTCAGTATTAGAGGGTACCCCAAAGCCCCCCCGAGGAACATGGGATACCCCAAAAACCCTTCAGGAAAGGGGTGCCTCCTGGCCTCATCATCCCCAACATTCAGCTCTCTCATTCCAGATCCCATCCCACCCCTCCCAAACCCCATCCCATCTCTCTCCAAGCCCCATCCCAGCCCTCCAACCCCATCCTACCGCTCCTGGGCATGAACTTCCCCCTCTCTGGTTGCTGACACCCCACAGGGTGGTCAGGGGGGCTTTGGAGGGACTATGTGATTGAGGCATTTTGGGGTGGGATCGAGTCATTATGAGGTGACAGATTGATCCATCTCAGCTTTTGGAGTGCAAAGTGATGGAGAAAACTCACCTGGCCTGGGTAACCCCAGTTTTGAGGGAAAACTCCCCCACATCCCCCCACAACCCCCAAATCCTCCCGAATAACCCCTTTGACCCCCAAATTTCCCCCCCCAGAATCTCAGAAAAACGGTAGGGCTTTAAATATCTTTATTGTATTTCTTTATTTTTACCCCAATTTCAGGTGTTTTTAAGGAATGAAGATGGATCAAAACAAAATCAGGGCCAACATAAAAGGACCTACATGTCCTGTGAGGTGTGTTTGGGTGGCCCGTGGGCCATGGAGAATTAGAAACATAGAATTATTTAGGGTGGAAAAGATCTCGAAGATTACCCAGTGTTGCTTGATGCCAAATCAAATGATTGGAATGAGCAGGTGAAATTCTTTGGGGGTCTAAAGACAACAAATCCACTCTTCCCAATGAATTTCTGACATCTGGTCTGTGTCCTGATGGATGTTCCTCCCCCTGTGTTCACCCAGGTGCCTATAGGGAACCATAAGGATGTGGAGACCACCAGCCAGGTGTCTTCCCAATGTGGGTCAACAGGAACTTAGGTCACTGGGTCTATGCCCCACGTAGGTGATGGAGCAGTGGATGAAGCTCTTCCCACAGCTGGAGCAGTTGTAGGGCTTCCCTTACTGGTGGGTCTGTTGGTGTGTGGTCAAGGCGCAGCTCTGCTCGAAGCTCTTCCCACACTTGGGACACTGGTAGAGCCTCTCCCCGTGGTGGATGCGCCGGTGTCTGATGAGGCTGGGGTTCTGCCTGAAGCTCTTCCCACAGTCAGTGCAGTGGAAAGGCCTCTCCCCCGTGTGCGTCCGCTGATGCGTGAGGAGATTTGCACTGCTCTGAAATGTCTTCCCACACTTGAGACACTCGTAGGGTCGTTCCCCACTGTGGATCTTCTGGTGGCGGATCAGGTTGGACTTGATGCTGTAGCTCTTCTCACACTCCGGGCACTTGTAGGGCCGTTCCTTCGTGTGCAGGCGCTGGTGGTTGGTGAGGTTGGAGCTCCGGCTGAAGCTCTTCCCACATTCCCCACACTTGTAGGGCCGTTCCCTGGTGTGGACAATCTGGTGGCGGATCAGGTAGGAGCTAAAGCTGAAGCTCTTCCCACACTCAGGACACTTGTGGGGCCTCCTCTCAGTGTGGACGTGCCGGTGGGTGATGAGGCTGGAGTTGTGCTTGAAGCTCTTCCTGCAGTTGGTGTAGGGGAAGGGCCCCTCCCTCGTGTGCGTCCACCGATGCCTTATGAGATTTGCCCTGTTCCGAAACCCCCTCCCACACTCAGAACACTTGTAGGGACATTCCTCTGTGTGGATCATCTGGTGGCGGTTCAAGTGAAAGTTCCGGCCAAAGCTCTTCCCACATTTCTGACACCTGTAGGGCTTCTCCCCTGTGTGCAGGCGCTGGTGGGCAACGAGAGCAGAGTTACAATTGAAGCTCTTCCCACAGTCCAAGCACTTGCAGGGCTGTTTCCCAGTGTGCAGGGATTGCTGAGTGCTAAGCTTGGAGCTCTGGCCAAAGTTCTTCAATAATTTCACGCATTTGTATGGCTCCTCCTCTGTGTGTAGGCTTTGGTGGCAGAAGAGGTGGGAGATGTGGCTGAAATTCTTTGTACATTGTAAGCACTTGTAGGGCTTCTGCCTGGGGTGAAACTGAACGTGGACCTCCAGGTCAGGGCACCGGCTCAAGCCCCAGCTGCCTTCCTGGCACAGGGTGAGTCTTTCCTCCTCAGAGCACCCTGGGCTGGCTTTGGAGCCCCTCCTCCTGGGGTACCTTCGTGGCTTTTCCTCCCCGCTGCCTTCCTGCGCCGTGGAGCCCTTCAAAACGGCCTCTTCCACCAGGCTCTGCCGGGGGGATTTGTCCTCCGGGCTCTCCGTCCTCAGCTCGGGGCCTGGGGCAGGAAGGAAGAAGGACAGGGAGGGGATTTGCCTCCGGCCCAGAGGGAAGGCCAAGGACATCCCCCCAACTCTGGCCCCGGCAGGACGGCGGCGGCAGCGGGGTTGTCCTGCAGCCGGGGGCGATGCTCGGCTGGGAGATACAGGACAAGACAGGGGCAAAGGGGCACTGACTTCCTCCTCACCTGCCTGGGGGGCCCGGGGCTTCTTCCTCTTCCTCGCAGCCTCCTCCTCCATTCGGCCAAGCTTTGGGAAGGAAAAATCCTGGACTGGGAGAAAAAACAAGGTGTGAGCATGTTGGCTTGGGGGTTCCTCCTGCCCAAGTCCATCTCTAGAAGTCACTTGGAGTCTTGTGTCCATAATAACCCCTACGAGTGACCCAACTGTGATCCAGGTTGGGCACAGACCTGGTGACCCACATTCCAGGTGATCCATGCTGGGCAGTGTATTGGGTTTGTGTGGCCAGGGTTTGGTAGCAGGGGGGCTCCAGGGCTGGGTTCTGTGAGCAGCTGCCAGAAACTTCCCCCATGTCCAGCAGAGCCAATTCCAGCTGGCTCCAGGATGGACCCGCCGCTGGCCAAGGCCAAGCCCATCAGAGATGGCAGTGACGCCTCGGGGAGAATGTATTGAAGGAGGAAAAATTCCTTGTGCAGATGGAATTGGGTGCAGAGAAGAGCTCAGTGAGAACAGGGGAGAGGAACAGCTCTGCAGACCCCCAGGGCAGTGCAGAAGGAGGGGCAGGAGGTGCTTCAGGCACTGGAGCTGAGATTCCCCTGCAGCCCAAGGAGGAGCCCACGCTGGAGCAGGGGGATGCCCAAAAAGAAGGATGTGAGCCCGTGGGAAGCCTTTGCTGGAGCAGAGTCCCTGCAGCTGCTGCGGCCCCAGAGAGCTCAGAGTCTCACTCAGCACCGCTGGTTATGGGGCCCCCACAGAGGGGGCTTGAGGCACAGGAATTGTCCCTCCTGGCCCCAGTTCAGGTCCGTGACTTTCTCTGAAAGTTGGAGAACAAAAATCAGATTCCACTTGGGTTGTTCTTCAGGCAAGAAAAACAAGAAGTTTCCC